TCACTTTATCTTTTAGTAGGTACTGCTAGTTATTAGGTATGTTCTACTCGAAATAATATATTTACAGTCAAAATTTATGTCATACAAATTCATCAGTTAGACAAATTATTTTTAAATGTTTTTAATTTTTTAATTGTAATTCATATACAATAATTTGAGTAGGTGTTAAATTTAACTTTTTACTTTCTATCTATTTCACTGTGATGACCTATATATTAAATGATTAAGCACATTTTTGTTAAAAAAAGTATTTTTTACCCATTTAAATTAATATAATAAATTTATAATTTATATTATCAGTTATCAACAGACTATTGAACTGTGCGGTCGTGTTTCCGTGAGTTATTGTTTTTCGGTCCGTTATCTTGCTAAAATTGTTAATAATATTTAGTTTATTCTACATATTTCGTCATAGTGAGTATTATCTATTCATTATGTCAAATAAATTCTATTCATGTAATGAGCAATTTGCAAAACTCGACAATCCATTAAAATGAGACAGTTGTTCTTCACTAGTTCATAATAAATGCTCAGGATTATCTGCAACTGAACTCAAATATCTCGGATTAAAAAATCGTATACTCAAATTTTTCTGTGTTTGTTGTGACCAAGGACTTAAAGTATTACCCGAACTAAAAACTCTCATTAAGAAATAACTTGTTGATGTCGATAATATTAAAAACAATACTACTTATAATATTAATTCTACCAATAACATTAATTTTTCGGACGAATTTATCATTAATGAAATAAATTAACGTTAAAAACGTGCAAATAATCTCATCTTTTATAATGTTGAAGAAAGCGAATCAAACCGGTCTGATGACAAAATTACTTCGGACTTTAATCATATTAATAATATTATTTCGATAATATTATCTGATACTATTCGCGACATTCCTGTCCCGTTAAAAGTCATTCGGCTGGGTCGTTATCAACCTGGTAAAATGCGTCCAATAAAAACAATTTTTTCAATGGCAACTGATTTGTTTGATATCATAAGAAATAAAAAAAAAGGTGGGCAAGTGGGTGTCGCTCTGCTGTACAGTAGGTTACAAGTGGGTCACTGTATAATGGATGGTATTAAATTTGAATTCAATGATATAATATCATTGTATAAGAAAAACGATTCTGAGCGGTGACGGTATGTCAGTCTATGTATAAGACATATTATATACATATCTATGGTATTAAACAAAAAATTGACCTATAATAGGTACCTATAATAAATTCCAAATTAATCATATCACAATATCCATTAGATACTTATAACACGTTATACATCAACAAAAACCGTGATACTATCATAGATATATAATAGTACACTTTAGAAGTTTCAAGTACCCACGAATAATATTATTCAATCACAACAAAATAACTAAAATAGTTATTCTAGGTTTTTTAATATGTAATTTCGTCCAAATTTGAATTTAAAATGTCTGTAAAAAATAAGTGTGTTCATATATTTTTTAGATTTTTTGGTTACAGTATGAACTATTTACGAGAACCTTTGTGTTGAATTTGCAATCCTTAGCTATAAAAACTGAACATTTTATAATTTATTAATTACAATGATTGATAATTTTCGAGATTTTGATAAAATTGTCAAAATTTGATCTTTAAATGCTTATAAAAAAAAACTGTGCCTATGTATTTTTAATATTTTTCAACTGCTATTGTAACAATATATCAGGAGCCTTGTATTAAATTTTTACACTTTTTGGCCCAACAGATAAAACTTTATTGATATTTATAGAAAAAAAAACTAAAAAAAATTGAAAGCTGTAAATGTCCATAAACATCTCAAAAAGAGTCAAAATATTTTCAAAATTGTATGGTGTATAGAAAATGCTAATTTAAACATTGAGTGAAATTTTCATGTATCTACAGTTGTTCGTTTTTGAATTGCAACAAAATAAGGAAATCGCTACATGAGTAATCGAGTGAATATCCAATGTTGTAAAAATTTGAATTTCAAACGCTCATAAAAATTTAACTTGACTGTCCGGTAGAGATTTTTTTATTGATAAAGGTAGATAATCTTATAAGGAATCTTGTGTTTCATTTTCAAATCTTAGATTTAAAAAGAAAAATTTTTACGAATTCTTAACTCAAAATAATTTGCTAATTTTCGTGATTTTTCCATATTTTGTAAATTTTTGAACTTTAAATGCTTATAAAAAAAAATTGTGACTAAGGATTTTTAATATTTTTCAAGTGCCTTTAAAACAACATATTAGGAGCCTTCTATTAAATTTTCAAGCTTTCGCAACCAACAAATAAAATTTTATTGATATTTCTAGAAAAAAAACTAAAAAAAAATGAAAAATGAAAATGTTCCTAAACAGTTCAAAATAAATCAAAATATTTTGAAAATGTTATCGTGTATAGAAAATGCAAATATAAACAACCAGTGAAAATTTCATGTATCTACGGTCATTTGTTTTAAAGTTACACCAAAAACCAAATTCGATTTTTTGGAAAATCGATTTTCCGTAAAAATTCCCGTTTTTCCTTAATTTTTATGTTGTTTTTCCCGGCGCTTGTGAAAACTACTGGAAAATGTTTACTTTTGACCCCCCAAAGTACCAACTAGATTCACTTTCCTATCAGAAAAGGTACTATTGAAGAAAATCGAAGCACTTTTACTGTCCCAAAACGTGATGACAGACACAAAAATATAAAAATATAAAAATATAAAAATATAAAAACATACATCATTGTAAAACCAATACATTCATCGCTCCGCTCAGAATCTAAAATTTCACATTCAAATCTACCTTCCACAATTAAAATTTCCACTGATCGAACACATAATCAAAGATAATCTATGAAAAAACTACGCGAAGAACTAGCCTCACGTACAAACGACGGTGAAACGATTAACAATCAAATTTCAAAGAGGAGTTCCCAAAATCATCAAAATTATCGGTGCATCAAATACTCAAAATCAAAATTCTCAAAATTTTTAAATCTTCATGTATTCTACCAAAATGTAAGAGATCTTAGAACCAAACTACATTTTTTTCGAAATTTTATTTCTAATTAATTGTGATTTATTATTTCTAACTGAGACTTGGTTGAATAATTCCATTAATGATACAGAATTAGGTCTAACTTTTTTTTAATATATTTAGAGTAGATCAATGCTCTAATCTATATAATCGAGGTGTTGGAATTTTACTGGCTATAAAACATACTTTAAATTGCAAGTTATTAAATCCTATCACCATAATACCAAATATTGATCAAGTTTTGTTAAATTATAATAATATTAACCTCCTCCTTGCTTGTGTATATTTATATTCCTCCGAATTCTTATTTAGATATTTACAGAAAACACTGAGATTGTTGAAAAACTCGTTATTAATTTCTCTGTAAATATATATATATCTGTATATATTAATTAGTTTTAGGTGATTTTAATTTAAATGAATTTTCTTCCTCAGATTATTCTTCATTTACTAATACCTCATCTAACTGCATTGTGAACTCATATATATAAATAACCTAAACTTAAAACAAGTAAATAATGTAAAAAATGATCATGGTAGTGTTTTAGATTTAATTTTTTCAAGTACAAGTATTAATTTTATATTTAGCAATCATTCACTTATACCCTTAATCGATTCAAATCATGCAAATTTAGATTTTATCTATCACTAGAAATATCTGAAATTTTAGATGACCCCAACAGCCCAGAATTATTCAACTATAACTCCTGTAACTATATAGAAATTATCGCATTTTTAGAAAATATTGATATTCTTGCTAATATAATAAATGTAGATCTTGATAATGCAATCCTAAAATTCTATGATATATTAAATCACACCTATGATTTATTTATCCCAAAAACTAAATTAAATCGTCAATTCAACCACTCTTTGCCATGGTCTAATAATTATGATTTAAGAAATTTAATTAAAGAAAAAAAACTTGCACATAAAAAGTGTAAAATTTTAAATTGACATTCTGATTATTTACATTTTTCTAATTTAAGAAAAAAATATAAGCAATTATATCAACAATTTTATTAAAATTAGATTCTCAAAATTGAAAACAATATTAATCTTAATATGAAATGCTTTTGGAAATATATTCAATCTTTAAAAAAAAACAAAATCAATATTCCTACATCAGTCTTTGATGATTTATCTGCTAATAATTTAAATGATATTACAAATTTATTTTCTAAATATTTTTCTTCTGTTTATTCTAAAAATAATGTACCTAAAAATTTTGATAAAATATCCAATATTATTAGTAATGATCTTAATTTAAATTCTATATCTATATCTAAAGATGATATAATTGAGCATCTAACATCACTTAATGAAAAATCTAGTACTGGTCCTGATTGTTTACCTAATATTTTATTAAAAAAATGTTGTTTGGTCTTTGCTAAATCTATAAATCACATATTTAATTTATCTTTGAACACTGGTATTTTTCCACTTATTTATAAAAAAACTTTTATCACTCCCATTTAAAAAACCGGCGACAGAAATAATTTAAGAAATTATCAACCAAATATAATTAACCAATTATATTAGTCCCTCACAACATGGATTTTTAGCTAAACATTCAATTTTTACTAATTTAATAACATACCATAATTACTTAATAACATCATTAAATGAAGGTCATCAAGTAGATTCTAGATATACTGATTTTGAAAAAGCTTTCGATAAAGTAGACCATTTATTATTATATCATAAATTAGAGTTGTTTGGAATAGGAGGTAATTTCCTTAAATGGTTGTTCTCTTTTCTTATTGATAGAACTCAGGCTGTTAAAATATCATTTTCTATCTCGACTGATTATCCTACCTCATCAGGCGTCCCACAAGGGTCTCACTTGGGGCCGTTATTATTTTTGATATTTATAAATGATTTAACATTAGTTTTTGGATACTTTCGTCTCCTAGTATAATTAAAAAGAGAGTATACAGATGCGTGCCATGTTTTCGTGCGAAGCCTCGTCCAGTACAGCCATTTATGGGCAATCTACCTCAGTTCCGTCTAATTCAATTAAAGCCATTCAGTAAAGTCGGCGTGGATTTTTCGGGCCCTTTTGAAGCGAAAGCAGACATAAAGATCAAAATAACCAAAACCTATATATGTATATTCGTCTGCCTGGTCACTACCGTAGTTCATATCGAACTCGTTTCCAATTTATCGACTCTTTTTTCATCGCTGGTCTGAACCGCTTCATCAGCCCGAGGGGCCGGTGCACGGATATCTAAAGTGACTGTGGCACCAATTTCGTGGGAACCCATCGGTACTTAACTTAGGTAGAGACTATAATCCAGGGTGCTGAGTTTTCCAACAACGTTCTTGAACATCAAATTCAATGGCATTTTAACCCACCCTCGGCGCCACATGGGAGGGATATGGGAGGCGGCCGTAAAATTGACAAAGTAACTTTTACATCGTGTAATCCAGAACACCGTTCTTACATACGAAGAACTTAACACAGTACTCAACCAAGTGGAAGCTACGCTAAATTCAACACCCTTAATTGCTATGTCATCGGATCAAAGTGACTACAGGACCCTCACGGAGGGTCACTTCTTGAAATAGGAACCACTTGTAACGATCCCGAGTCCCAAGGATGTCACAGGTTTGGTTACGATGAGATCCCACAAACGATGGTCACTGATCCAACAGATTCAGTAACATTTCTGGAAAAATGAGTATTTGCATACTTTACAGGAGAGACCCAAGTGGAATCGTCCCGACAAGAACCTGCAACTCGATGATCTTGTCATTATCAAAGAACCGACTCCTCCGCTCAAATGGAGTACCTCAAGAGTTATCGAAGTACATTCCGAAGACGACGGCATTGTGTGAGTGGCCAAAGTAAAAACTTCAACCGGTAAAGTTCTTACCCTAACTATGTCCAATTCCCTTGAGAGATTGAAGCCGAGTACCTTCAAGGTTAGGTTACGTAGTTACGTAAGCAACACCAACACTGCGATAAGCAAATGCCGCCTTCCCTCTACTCTAGGTAACCGGACCAGTTCGTCGTTTCTCTTTATTCCATGTTTTTTATTGTGCGTTGAGTCTCTTAAAACCCATCACCGTCCTACCCATCACTGTCGAAGACAGCATCCTATCCATCACCGTCGTTAAGCCACCGTCCCCGAGGTCAACGCGTCACCACCCGCATTGTCTGCGGACGTCTTTGTTAAAAAACTTTATTATAATTTTTTTTGTGTTATTTTTATTCGTCATCCCCGACGAAACCCTCAGATTGGCCAGTCCCTGTGTACCCCTTTACCTGTACCTTAAATATTTTTGTTTTGAGTTTTTGAAAATAGTAGTCTGCCGCTCACGGCAAAAATCAAAAATAATGTTGTTATAATTTATTTACACAATACAGACCACTAACTTATGCTGACCTAACAGTACGTAAGTGTATAATTTCACTCTTAAGTATAAAAGTTATACCAAGTTAGTTGTATTCCACTTATAGTGGATTAATATAATCAGTTTATACAAAATCTTAACAGTAGTAATATCAGATGAATAAAAACAAACATTAAAAGATTTTTTAAATTAGCCTGTCTTCTTCCCAGAGGTCTAATTTAACATTCGTTTACTTTATATAAATAATATAATATAATGTCAAAAAACAAAATACAAATCAACAAACATGTCCGATTAACCAATAGCAACTAATATAAATTATAATACACTGTTGTATTTTTTCATCCAGATTTCCTACATTCCGGTTGATTTTAATAAAATTTTATTTCGTATAAATCTTCTCCTGTTAATTACGAACATCCTAAAAGAATTTGAGCCAAATCGGACCAGCCGTTCTCGAGTAAAAAATAAAAATAAAACAATAACAATAATACAAATCAACAAACATGACCGATTAACCAATAGCAACCAATATACAATTCACTATTATTATATTAATCTGAAACTAATTTTTTTATTTATTTAATTTTTTCTGGACAGATGGCTATTGTATTTTTTGATATTCAAATATTCTACTTTTCCTAAAATTTTCTTTCTTTCCAATCTTCTCCAGGCAATTACGAACATCTTAAAAAAAATTTGGGCCAAATCGGTCCTGCCGTTCTCGAGTCTTAGCGAGACAAACGAACAGCAATTCTTTTCTATGTATATATTAAATATTTTATTATATCATGTTAAGCATTAAAAGTTTATTTTTAGATATTCAATAATTAAATAATAATAATAATAATTATTATTATTACATTTTTTAATTTTTAATTTGACAGCTCATTTCGGCAAACCGTATAATTTTGGTGAACCGTAGCATTTGAAATGTAAGGTGCAACTCGTATAGTAACACATATGAAGATTTAAGTGCAAAATATAAAGTGTCAATTTTTAATTCGTTATAGTTTATCGTTAGGGTTACCTACTTAATCGGTTTCTAAATATTATATTGAAGTTATTCTATTGTCGGGTTATTTTATCGGTTTTTAACTGTTAAATTATGTTAGTATTAAGAATCACGTATTTCTATATAGAAAATGTTAAATAAGTGAAGTTGATAAAGATGAACACGTCGTGTACCTTTATTTAAGTAAACAAAGACATGTAAGTTTACAAAAACTATTCACGTAGTTACCTATACTATAAATATTAGATAATGCGATTCACGCAAGTCATAAGTCGTCTAATATTCGCGTTTATGAGACTGAATTCTGAATTATAAAATACCTTAATTATATTCGAAGTATACAAATAATAATAGTTGAGAAGTTTTAATTTTATTCGAAAAGTAATAAATAGGTTGGAAAATGAAGGAAAATGAAAATCCTTTAATATTATTATATGTCTCTTAGGTATGTCAGCACTTGTGTGTACAAATAATACGTTACTTCCACTTCCATTGTAGATTATTATAATAGACATTATTAAACATTAATAGTATAAACTATTAGCATCTGAATATCGAGAACAATTTTATTGTTTATGGATTTTTGATCAAATAAAAAATACCCAAACCTGCAGAGTGCCGTCCATTAGAGATCATAGGGGAATATATCTACTTTCCATTTTTTCGTGTTTAAAATAATGTAGATGTTTATTTCCAATTAAAAAAATCCACATTAAATATAATAAAATAAACATAACATACATTCTTACGTATATTTTGACAGCCTCATCACTGTCATTAATGTAAATTTAAAAACATTATTATTTTAATTTTACAGAATTTTAGGAAGTTTACTTATTTACTATCATACAGATATTCAAAGATATCGCAAAAGACCAAAGCTGTGTCGTCTTCTCTGTCTTTCAGTCAGACCTAGTCGGACTTTGAACTATAGTGTGCGCTGTGCGGAGATCGCTACGTAACAAGTAAGACGAAGCTGAATATCATTACAACCAGACATTCAGTTCGGCCACTTTGGCCACTATCGCGGACAACATTTAATGATGGAACCTGGCATTCTGACCTCGTCAACTATCAACCGTAGTTTAGAGTCTATGACCCATCCGACAACGGATCAGACCGGCTTTCCACTGAGCGGTATCCGACCGCTGTCCACTGGGAACGAGGCAGTCGTGTACACCATTGTAAGCCGGGTACATAACTTGGTGAACCAGGTTATACGTTGCGTGGTGCACCACCAGGTTCACTATGCGGGCGCCAATAGGTACACCGTGTCAAACAGAGGTAACCAGGATACACCAGGCGGTGCACCGTCTTGGTGTATACCTCGGTCGATTATACTGCCACAATGTGCGAGTCGATCAGTACCGTCGCCGCTAGGTGATAATTCGGTTACCGACCGGTATCTGATCGCTATCCACTATAAGTGCGAGGCAATCGTGTATACCATTGTATACCGGGTACATAACTATATGGTGAACCAGGTTTTACATTGCGTGGTGCACAACCAGGTTAACATTGAGGACGCCAAGGTACTCCGTGTTAAACAGAGGTACACCAGGATAATACACTACACGGTGCACCGTTGTGGTATGTATATCTTGGTAGCACGATTATACCGCCCCTGTGCGAGTCGCTCGGTACCGTCGCCGTTTGGTGATAATTCGGTAGGTAGTCCGTCTGAAACGTCGTCGCATGAGTCAATAGACTCTCCTGACACGTGTTGATGCTTAGACGTCAGAGCAACCGTTACCGCCACGATGGTAGCTAAAGTCGCCTGGCCCGTGGCTGTTATACTAATTGTAGTCCGCTTCGTCTTAGGTCCAATGAAATTAGAAGATTCTCATTTCAAACCAATGACTTAAAAACATATTTGGCGAAGTAACAAACGAAACCGGCCGTATGTACAAATGTGTATATGTGTAAATGAGTGAAAATTTTAATTTAAATTTTTAGAACGCGGACACTTTGTATTATTATATACATAAAGTATATAATATTATAATAAATATAAGCTATATACCTAATATTAGTAGTATAATATATAATAGAAATTATTAAAATAGAAATTTAAAAATAAAAACTAAATTGTTATAAAATATTGTTCATTTTGATTATTATTAATGAACAATATTTTATAACAATTTAGTTTTTATTTTTAAATTTTCTAATCATAGATTATACATCTTTATTGTAATATATTATCAAAAGTTATGTTTAAGTAAAGTAAAAATGTTTACAATATGAATATGTCAAAATGACAAATAAAATATAATACTGGAAAAATCTTTAAAAACTTCATGTATAGTATAATATTGAAATATCTCAAAACCACAAGTCTTTATATTTCATATATTTACTATTTACAATATACACCTTATGTATATAAGAATACAAAGTTCCCGCGTTCTGTAATGTAAAGTTTTACCGGACCGTACAAAGTGTACATTTTTAACCTACCGTACTAAGTGTCCGCGTTCTGCATTTGAAACAATGGACAATACAAAGTGACCATTTACCCCTTATATAATATGATCATTGTTTTGAAAATATGTGGGAAAAGACTCGAATCGTACGTGTCACGGTAGGTACCTACTACCTACAGCCGTACCGAGTAAGCTGTAGGCATACGTAGGTACTTTACAAACATAATATAATCATTTAAATAAAATCAATGTATATTAATACATGTTAATTTTCAGATCAATTTTCCACAATTTTTCTTATTTTGTTATCATGCTTCTTGTACTTTTTAAGGCGTGGTTTACTTGATTCTGTCGATAAACGTTTTTCCAACCGTATAAAGCTGCTCAGCTAAACACCCAGCTAGAGTTTAGTAACGAAAATCCTACTTAATCAACAGATAAGGACTCTACCATTTTTATATTAATAGTATGCACATGTAGTAAATACCTAGAAAATATAAATTAGTAGGCTACTAGACTATCGTATACTAGACAACTCGTCTATGCTCAAATTGTATCTATGTGCAATAAAATATAAAATGTCGATCATTAAATACAACTATTTAGGTTAAATATACTATAACTTATAACCATATATATTATCAAGGAATATATTTGATAAGAACTTTTTATGATAAATTATAAAATTTTTATGAACATATACATCACTATACTTACTAGCCCTGGCTATAATGTAAGGCTATTATACCTACTATTAGTATTAATTCTTATCTTGAATAGGCTACAAACATATTAATATAAAAGTTTATAAATAATTATTATTTATTAATATTTTATATTATAAAAAAATAATATGCTGGCCAATGTCTGTTATTAATTTCCTTATAATCGATACAAGAAAATTGTTTATTTCATGTTAATGTTTATAGTTCAATTTCGTTAAAAAAAAACATTTAAATTATATACGTCACAGTTTTAACTTTCATGCGAATAATATTAAATTTTTCCGATTGCCGTTTTAATTTGTAATTTGTTTAAGTTTTCCAAAATTATTCTTAACTCTCCTTACTTTCTTTAAGTTTGTTGAAAATGAATTGTTCTTTTTATTTT